TTCCTTCTGTTTCTGATGCGAACGCGAATAATTTTATCATACTTTCTCGTACGTGTTTCAACCAGTAACCTGTTATGTACCTTGTGATCGTTTTATTCCGCAAAATTGTTGGATGCGATGTGCGTTTCGCGTGTTCTCAATATATAGATATGTACGCGATCGTTCTGTACGTAATCTCATCGAAACAGCCTAGAAACGTATAACGCGTGATACGTTTTTCAGGTGATAGTATTACATTTTTCTTTTTCTTTTTTTTTTTTTTTTTTTTGCTCTTTTTAAAAAGTGCGCGCGTTCGATGATCCGAGAACACCTTGATCGTTTATTTTCTGGTCTTTCGACATAGAGGCTGCTTCGTGGAGGAAGCAATGACGAACATCCTCGTTCGAAACGTATCGTACTCTAAACACGACCCCTGCTCCGTTGCAAGTGTCGTTCATCCATTAATTATTTTTTACAATGTATTTTTTTTTTTTTACAATCTAGCGTTTATTTATATAATTCGTGTTAGTTAATTATCAATTATTCGACTGATATCCAGGATATTCCTTCGATCGTTTTTATTTCATTTATTTTTATTTAGTAACTTGATCGCGCTTTCGATGGCTTGATTGACTCAATATGCCCACACTAGAATAATAGAAGGATCGTTATTTAATTTAATTTCGACTCTATACATAAGACTGCGACGAGTGAATTCGTTCACGATTTATACGGTAATGCTCTATGGCTCTCTGTCGACGGTACTTAGATACAAATACTTGGTCATCTTCGTCCGAGTCGAGCGATATTGTATTTCGTCCCATTTTTACAAGATACGCGTATGCAGTGATATTTTATGTACGTATCGAATCATCGTTTTTTTTTTTCTTTTTTTTATCATCATTTTTATTTTGTATTTTGGTACATTTGCACGAAACATTCATATTGTAAGTCGAACGCCATTACGTTTAATGATTTAGTCTCAATGGATCATGTTTCAACTGTATTGGATTTATATAATTATGCGGAAAGCACGCAGTTTTTTATTTGTTAGACGATAAATTTTGACTGGTAAACTGTGAAAAGTTGCCAATTTAATCGCACAATTGCATTTACTGCCGAATTTCGCTACTCAGCGTCAGACGGTTACTATTATCGAGATGAGCCACGAGTAACCATTTCGTTGGTACAAACTACGGGAGAAGAAAGACGTTTTATAAAAAAAAAAAAAA